GGGGGGTATCTATACTTTTGTTGTTAAAATGTTACGTCTCAACCAAGTACTGTATGCTTTTTATATTAGTGTGTCACACAAACAGCAAATATTGTCATGAAAGTAAGAAATCTTTGGGGGTGCTTTGATTCATTTTGGGGGTGCTAAAATCGCACAGACAGACAGACATTTTGGGCTATAATCGCCCCTGTGAGAAACATTCCTAAATCTTTGGCAAACGAGGTTCTGAACTTTTCGGGTGGGCCAAGGTCAACGTTTAGGGAAGAACAGGGGCTGAATAGTATGATCTTTCTTGATCATTTATATGCAAAAAAAATTAACGCGAACCATGATTTAATGTCATCAAGACTCGTGAATTACGAGTGTGATATTATAGAAACTTCCAAGGAAAGCGAGCACAGCGTGGAGCACTTCCAAGAATGAGCCATGGCACTCCATGTCCGATTAAAACTCATCTACAGGTGAATTCCTCCTCGCTCACCGTTTCCACAGGTTGTGGCAGCGAACTTCCCATTTTATCCTTTTCTATTTGTAGCCGGTGCCACGCCCTCCCGATTCGTCAGGATAAAGCTGAAGTGTCGTCCAGGTAGAGTATAACTGCAGCACTTTGTCCAATAGGAACAGCTCGTGGTGCACCTTGTTGTACACCTCGATGCTTAAGTAAAACAGAGAGAGGGTTTTGGACTTACCCCTGAAATCTAGCACTTTATATTTTAGCAGCAAACTTTTCTGTTTCTGTGGAAGTCAAAGGCGCAGTTTTGAAGATGCTCTGTGCCTTTTTGCGTCTGAAGTTGTGAAGTGCAAGAGGGGGCAAAGGAGTATTTTTTTTAACACGTCTGAGTTTCCTTTTTCTTTTTTTTTCTGTCTTTAATCAAAGCCTGCGACATTTTTACAGCCGAGTGGTCGTTGGAGAGCAACCTGGTGACTTTCAGCGATGGCTGGATGCTGTCTTTCAGCGGAGGAGAGAGAGAACCAGAGGATCAACGAGGAGATTGAGAAGCAGCTGCGGAGGGACAAGGAGGACTCTCGCATGGAGCTCAAGTTGCTGCTTTTAGGTGAGCATCACTAACCTGAACACCAGCTCGGAGGGTAACTGACTTCACGGAGTCCTCCTCATTCTCCTCGTGCTCTGCTGTAAATCATTAAAAAGTTTTATCTAGATTGTAGTCATAGATGTTCTTTTCCGGGCAAAAGAAAAGCTTTAAAACATTTGCTCTTAAATTTGTTCCTCTAGCGGAAGGATCCAGGCGTTTTCATTTTCAGTTGTGGGAGACAGCTCAAAATTTGCCATTACTTCACCGCTTCCTGGCCACGGGTATCGTGGCAGGTGGGACAGAGCTCTGACGCCTGTCGACTAGTATTCATTTAGCCATATGAAAGTAAAAATGCACACTTTAGAAGGCAAATATATAATTTTATATATATTATATCCAGCACGCAACATTTTGTCATTGCCACGTGTGGCTACATGAGAGGATTCAAGTCATGAGCAGCGTTTCACAGTTGAGGCGCACTGGCTTTCCGAGAACATCCAGGGTATGCGCAGCCGCGCGC